AAGAGATCTTACTTGGTCAACCAGGGATGGAACTTGTGCCCCCTGCATTGAAAGCTAGGGATCTTAACCACTGGATTGCCAGGGAAATTCCAGTTGTAATTGCTAATTTGTCTGTTTCTCCGCTTATTCCTATAAGTTTTCTTTAAGAATTTTAAACTTCCTTTGCTAAGTACATTCTGATTCAGTATTCCTATGTATTCTTGATGAATTAACATTTTATCATTAGGATAAATACCCCTCTCTATATCTGGTCCTTGTCCTAGAAGTTACTTGATTGTGTGCCATGCTTAGTCACTCAGTCGTGTCTGACCCTTTGTGACCCCATAGACTGTAGCCTGCCAGGCTCCTCTGTCCATGGGGATTCTCCAGACAAGAACACTGGAGTGGGTTGCCATGCCCTCCTCCAGGGCATCTTCCCAAACCAGGAATCGAACCCAGGTCTCCCACATGGCAGGCAGATTCTTTACCATCTGAGCCACCAGGAAGCCTGTCAATTAACCAATACAGCCTCCTTTGTTTTCTTTAAATTAATGTTTCCGTAGCATATCTGTTGTCTCAACAGTGAAGAATCTCCTGAGATGTAGGACGTGCAGAGACATGGTTATGATTCCTGGGAGGGGGAGATTCCCTGGAGGAGGGCATGGCAACCCACTCCAGCAGTCTTGCCTGGATGATTCCATAGGGGTCTCAAGAGTGTTGGACACGACTGAGCATCTAAACAACAGAAGCAGCATATCTGTTTCCATCCTTTCCTTTTTAACCCATTTCCCTTTATATATGATATCTCAAGTGGGTTTATTACAGATAACTGATATCTGATTCTTGATGTTTTTTTCTCTCTACTGAAATGATCATCTCTTTCCTTAACATAGTGTCTCGAATCTTAGCATCACAGTTTATCCCGTAAGGCGGATCCAACTTTCCACCTAGTATCATAGACTTCATTGTTTTAGAGCAGCTTTAGAATTGAATGAAAAGCACAGAGTTTTCCCATATGCTTTCAGCAACTCCACAGTCCACAGAGTGGCAAAGAGTCAGACACAACTGAAGCGACTTAGCATACAGGCACACAGCCCTGATCCTGATGCGTGTTGCTGGTTTTCTGTTCAGAAGTGAAGATGTCGGGCGGCGGCGGCGGCGGCGGCGGCGGAGGCGGCTCCGGGCATGCTCGGCCGTAGAGGCTGCGAGCGGGGAGGGTCGCGCTGGTCCCCGGCCGGCCGGAGCGGCGGCGGCGGCGCAGGGCAGCATGAGGGAGCCGCTCGTGTGGGCCCTGCCACCACGACGGCCCCCGCGGTGGCACTTTGATGCGGCCGGAGCACTATGTACAGTGTCGAAGACCTGCTGATCTCCCACGGCTACAAGCTGTCGAGGAAGCTGCCAGCCCCCCGCGAGGATGTCGGCGAGGGGCGCCAGCCCGCGAGGACCGTGGTGCCCGCGGGCCCCGGCCTGCTGAATGGCTGCGATGAAGGCCCCACTGCCCTCCCCCGGGGCGAGGCCTCTCCGGGGACGGGCCTCCTGAGCGACCCCGAGAGCCGCCGCCTCGGGCCGAGGGGCCACGGGAGCGCCCCAGCGCTGCGGCTGCTGCCAGGATCTCCGAGGCTGGTGGCCATTGGAGAGCTGGAAACAGGAGGCAGACGGAAAGGTTCCACCATCAGCCGGTGCTCGCATGGTCCTCGCAGCCCCTGACCGGCCGCAGCCACGCCTACTGGAGGAGAAGGGAGCAGGAGGCCCGGGAGGACCCAGGGGGCCGAGGCCCGGCCCCCAGCCTGCCCGCGCACCCGAGGGAGGGTCCCTGCGAAGTTGGAGGAAGGTCTGAGCACGTGATGAAGAAGGCTGTTTGGGAAGACGAGCTGGGAATGGCGGGTCCCGCCAGATGGCAGGATGTCAGCGTTGGAAGCTGGAACCAGCCCCCGAGACTTGGGAGGCAGATGTCAGACGGTGTTGGAGAGAAGTTGTTTCAGGACCTGTACCCGTTCATGCTTGGGGAGCACGGGCTGACCTCCCAGAGCAAAGGGAAGTCCCAATCACTGCCTCGAGTCCTTTCCCCCGAGAGCCTGAGTTGTGTGGAGGTCCCTATCCCTTTGAGCGATGGCCATTTACCAGGTGTCCCTAAAGTGCAACTTCAGCCTCCAAATTGTGCTTCCAATTTGGAATCCACCAGGAACCCCGAGAAGGCTGGCACCTCGGCCCCTTTGCCCCGGCCCAGGTTTGGGAGACCCCTCAAGCCCCCGTCTTACGGCTCCCAGCCACACTCCAGGGCCGGAGCAGAAAACGGCAGCTATGCAGACAGCCGGCAGCCGGACCCGGGTGCTGCCCACTTGGCCAGGACGAACAGTGCCAGGCAGGACCTCTATGGGCCTGACCCCGGCCTGGAGCCCCCCGTGTATGTGCCCCCACCCTCGTACAAGTCGCCGCCGCAGCCCGCAGCACACCCCTGCCCGGAGGAGGCGGTACCCAGGCCTGATGGCGGAGGCCGCCGTGTACCACAGCATCTGATGGAGAAGCCCGCTGCCGGCGGTCAGCCTCTTTCTGGCTCCCGGGGAGCTGAGAGTGAGTGGGGGGCCAGCCCATGCTCTCCTGTAGGTGTCCCCCCACAGCCCCACCCCACCACGGCTTACGACGGTTCCATCCTGATAATTCCCTTCAACGACCCGCGGATACTAAACTAGCCCGACCCCATGGATTCTGGGAAGATGTGAAGCTGGATGGTGCGGTCCCTGCCCCTCACCCAAGAAGCCTGCAGCAGGAGGGGGCCGTGTGGGGCACATCAGGGAGGGGGAGGGGTCCTGCCCCTGCTGATCCCAGCCCCCCATGGCTATGGGGCCAGCCCCCCAGGGATAGAGAAGACGGCAGTTCTCCTGACCGAAGAGACCCCTGCATTGTCACACAAAGAAAGCGGCCCGATGTGAGCGGCAGCCCACGCGAATATCCAGAAAGCCTCGTGTCCTCCCCGAGCCCCCAGGGCGAGAGTTCCTGTGAGATGCAGACCCAACTCAGAAAGTTCGAGACAGGGCTGCAGCCCAAGAGAAGCTCAAAGAAAAAAACGAGCGAGACGATCTTTTGTTTGGTTTCCATCCCGGTGAAATCGGAGTCCCAGCCGCCAGGTACGGACACGAACAACAGTGACCTGAAGCGGAGCGCTGCGTTGCAGGAGCAGAGCGGGCTCAGTTTGTCTTCCACCGACCTGGAGCTCCAGGCACTCACCGGCAGCATGGCCCCGAGGACAGAGCTGCCAAGACCAGACCCGGGGGGCCCAGGAGGGGGCCGGCAAGCAGACGGCCTCAGATCCCCCAACCCCGCAAAGCACCGCGCGCTCGCATGGCCTGGCCCATGGCCTGGGCACCACTTCCGAGACCAGCAAACACAAACCAGCTTCGCTCAAGAGCCTCAGAGCCTGCAGCCCCTCCCAGGCGAGAGGACAGGTGGCTCCCCCGACCCCGTGCTGCCTCCAAGGTGTTTGGACCCTGCACCCTTCGAGGTTCAGATGCACATGGCGTTGGCGTCCAGTGACCCGAACCAGAGGCCCGAGACTCATTCCCCGAAAAGTCAAGGGTCCCTCAGCCCGTCCAGCAACAGCGCCTTCTCCGGGTCCTCCCGGTCCAGGAACCAGGTTCCCGCACCGAGGGCCAGCCTGGGTCAGCAGGGCTCGGATGGCCGTGGCCGCCGAGCCAGCCCCGTGTCCAGGGGTGAGGTGATCAAGGGGGAGACCACGGGCCCCTGCAACAGTCGACAGCTGTTCGGGCAGTTCCTCCTGAAGCCCGTGAGCCGCTGGCCCTGGGACTTGATCAGCCAGTTAGAAAGTTTCAACAAGGAGCTTCAGGAGGAGGAAGGAAGCAGTAACAGCAGCAGTGACGGCAGCGGCAGTGAGGACAGCGACACAGAGCTGCCCTGGCGGAGCTGTGCCCACCCGGCACCCCAGCGTCCGGGCCTCCTGAAGGGCCTGGTGCCCGCGGACCCCAGGACCAGGCCGGGCAGAGTCAAGAGCAAGTCCGAGAGCTGGAGCGAGGAGGGGAGGCCTCGGTCCCCCAGGCCCTGGCAGGCAGAAGGCAGAGGCTCCGTGTGGCTGTCCCCCCCCCCGCCCCGGGAGCTGGATTGCTGAAGACGGGGACCAAGAGTTTGAGGACAGGGTGGCCCAGCTGGCAGTCAGCCCAAGGCCTGTGAAACGAGCAATATCTTCTGGGTTGAATGATGCAAAACCCGAGCCCCGACCCGATCCAGCTGAACAGAGGGAGCCCCCGCCCAGCCAGGAGCTCCCTGGCAGTCTCGAAGCTGTGGAGCTGAGTGCAGCCGCCCCTCCGAGGGCGGGTGATGGGGAGCAAGGGAGCACAAGGGCGCCCCTCTCTCTTGCCGGCAAATCCCGAGGCCTGTCTGCACCAGACTTGAGGTCTGTGGGGCTGACGCTGGTGCAGGAGCAGAGTACCAGCCAGCTAGCAGGGTCTCCGGGTGATGCCAATGCCATAGAAATCCCCCCAAATGAGTCCCTTGAAGCCAGGGCCACCAGGATCCTGGGCATCGAGGTGGCTGTGGAGTCCCTGCTGCCAGGCGCCCAGAGGGCAGGGCACCCCGAGCCCGATGGAAGTGCCCTCAGGCCCGAGTCCCCCAGACAGGAGGCAGCAGCCAGCTTGGCCCAGCCCAGTGAGTCCACTGCACCTGCCGACGCCTTCTATGGCAGGAGGAAGTGCGGCTGGACCAAGAGCCCTCTGTTTGTAGGCGAGAGGGACAGCACCCGGCAGGCTCCCCGGGCCTCTGAGCCCGCGGATGTGGACGGGGCCGTCCCCAGCAAGGCTCCTGAACCTCCGCCCAGCCCCCCGGAGTCCCAGCCTTTCCTTCCCAAGGACGTGGAGACAAAGCCACCCTTCAGGTCCACCTTGTTCCACTTTATAGAAAGGACCCCAGACTTGGCATTCTCGGAAAAGAAGCTCCGAAACACTTCCAGAGTGATTGAAAGTTTACAGGAGAAGCTGGTCTCCCCACCCAGGAGGGCAGACCCCGACCGCCTGATGAGGATGAAGGAGGTGAGCTCTGTGTCTCGGATGAGGCTCCTGACGTCCCGGGGCGTGGACTCCACGGAGGAGCCCAAGGCCGAGAGGGATCCCGGGGTGTGGCCAGGAGGCCTAGTGACTCCCAGCGCCGGGCACAAGCTCTCCAACCCCCAAGGTGCTCTGTCGCTGGAAGCAGACAGGCATCCAGCAGTGCGAAGGGAGGAGAATGGCGGCCGGGACTTCTGGTGCCCAGGTGAGGAGTCAGGCAGAGGGGCGGGTGTTCAGGTTGCGTTTGACGTCCTGAGAACATCAAAATACCTAGTGGGTGGGTGATGAAACCTGCAGATTCAGAAAAGATCAGATCGACCTTGTGAATGATGGTGCCCAAAGAGTCTTCATTCTACCTAAGAATTATCCAGAAGCTTCTCTTAATAGTAAGACCTTGCAGTGTATTTTCAATGATCCGGTCTTCATAGATAGTATCTATGTAAGTGACTAGATAAAATTACCTATATAAACACCCTTGGGGCCCCTGACTCTGAAGAGGTACATCAGTAAGCTATGCCAGCCAGGGTGTAGGCACCTTGATCGGTCTCCTAGGAGACCAGGGCATTTGTATTCTGTTCTCTCCCCAGAAATAGACATTCTCCCAGATAACTCTCGGACTTCCCAGGTGGTTCTAGTGATAAAGAACCCGCCTGCAAATGCAGGAGACATGAGAGGTGTGAGCTTGATCCCTGAGTCGGGAAGATCCTCTGGAGGAGGACATGGTAACCCACACCAGTATTCTTGCCTGGAGAATCCCATGGACAGAGGAGCCTGGAGGTTCCAGTCCATGGGGTTGCAAAGAGTCGGACATGACTGAAGCGAATGAAGCAAGAAGCGAATAACCTGCATTGCTTGGTTAGCCTAATGAGAAAAGACATACCCGAGTGATTCAATAAACTTCTTGCCCTGGGATTCTTACCGAAAAAAAAAAAAAAAAAAGAAGTGAATATGTCTGCACTCTCTGAACTTTGACCCCACTCTCTTCGACTCAGGAGAATTGTGGGCCTGTTTGGGTTCTTGTTCCCTATGCTTTAGGTCTGGAAATCTGTAGAGGCTGGAGATGCCATAAGTGTCACTTGACTTGTTTACTTTTCTTTTTTTATAAATGGTTGAGCACAGAATTTAAAAAATTTAATTAGCTAATTCATTAATTTGGGTGTCCTGGACCTTAATCAAGGCAGGCAGAATCTAGTTGCAGCATGTGGAATCTAGTCCCCTGACCAGGGGTGGACCCAGGCCCCCTGTGTTGGGAGCACAGAATCCCAGCCCCAGACCGGTGGGGACGTCCCTCACCTCACCTGTTTTCTACACTCCTCAATTATGGTCCTGCATTGCTTGTGCCAGAGTCTGAATCAGTGGTTTCACAGGTTTTGCTTGGTTCCTTAGTTGTGTACTGTAGAAGGGCAGCATACAGTCCCATCATGTCCTTGTTTTTTTTTTATGCTGAATTGTGGGGTCCAAGCTCTTGTCTTTGAGTGTCTGCCCTTTCTTCCTGAGAACTCAGTTCCTTGACTGGGGGCTCTTGTTGGGGGTGATGGGCCTGCCACCACATTTGCTGGAATCATTCTGTATCAACCTTCAGAGACCACTGAACAGTTACAGGGCCTTGGAACGTACTTCAGCTCACATAAAGGAGGACATGGCAACCCACTCCAGTATTTTTGCCTGAAGAATCTTATGGACAGAGGAGCCTGGTGGGCCCGTCCATGGGGTCACAATAAACACTTGTTGAGCAGCTTTTGTGCCAAAAAACACTTGGGCCAGGAGTGATTAAGTGATGAAGTGCCCTTCAACATCCTGCAGCCAAATATGGAGATTGGAAATATGCAAATGTCCTGAATGTAAAAATCAAGCAGAACTCAGAGATGGAGCACTCAGGTCAGAACCCTTTTAAAAGGAAACATCATATTTGTTGGGGAAACAAATGTGTGTTTTTAAGAAGGAGGTAGAATTTGAGGTGCCCCTGAGAGATGGGTTTGGAGACATAGCTAGAGGAGAGATTTTATCCAGGCCTGAGGTCAGTCAGAACAGAGGCAAGAGTGAGAGGAAAGCTGAAGCAAGGTGGAGGAGGAGCCAGGTCCCCGTGTCTCTGAGCTGGAAAGTGCTCAGAGGACCTGGGAGACCCTCAGGGAAGCCGTGAAGGTTCAGAGATGGATTTGCTGGGGAGATGCCATGACAGATGGACAGACTGCACAGCTCAGATGGGTGACAGAAGGCTAAGGAAGTGATTCAGAAAGAACAAGTGGTCCAGCCTCATTGTGGGGTGAAAGTTGTGAAAGAGGAATAAAATCTGACAATCTTTGGAACACCAGCTGAGACCCTCGTGTGGCTTCCTCTAGGGATTATACTTTATTTGAATTAAAGGTGAGTCATTAACACTTTCTAAGTTGCCTATTTGGTAACAAGCAGCACAATAAACAGAATGTTGAAAAATAATCATGATAATAATCAAGCTTCTAAATTTTGTAAAAAGTCTTTGATTTGGCTTCTGGAGTCTTCAAGGAGGCAATTTCACACTATGCAACTTTCTCCTTGTGTTCCTGGATTTTTCATTTCTTCTTCCGGCAGCATTTTCGGCCACTCAGGAAACAGCGGCCTATCTGTTCCTCCTTTGGAAGGCAGCCGATCAGAGCACAGCGGCCGCTTCTTCTTTTGCAGTAATACTATTGTAACCTGCTTTCGATTCCGCCATTGCCTTCGGTGAAGAAACGGAGCACACGGAAGGTTTTAGGAAGGCCGCGGTGCAAGTCCAAGGCTTTTGAAATCTCTCTAATAGTTATCTGTTGTCATTTTCTGTTCTTTTATGTCTTTTTCCTCTTTCTTTACCATCTGGAGTAAAGAAGATGGTGGGGTTAGCTGCTAACAATGATTCTGTGGGTTCGACTCAGCTGAGAAAGTGGCATGACCATGGCAGCACCTTTGTGAACTGACACCTGGGAGACAGGGGCCACGATGGCCCCCCAAGTCCTTTAGAGGGCTAAAGCTGTACCTCCGACTGCTAAGCTAATAAAAGGGAACCTGTGCTTCTCTCCTCAGATTAAGTTCCTTTTCTCCTGTTGGTACTAAGATTTATAAAATAAATTAATTAATAAATAAAGATTTACATCACGTTCTTCCTGTCTCATGAACATATATAACAGTCCTCCCATGGAGGGACGGTTTGTGAGCTAATTAGTCTCTTAAGAGTGAATCAGAAGGGATGGAAGCCTACCTTGAGGTTCTTGATGATCTTTGTCAAGAAAAAAAAAAGGAAAAGCTGGTAATATCTAGTTCCCAACAGTAAATCTCCTTTATCTAAAATTCCCAAATGAATGGAGAGGGCTGACTCTGACTGACAAATTCTCAATCCATTCAGCCCTGTCATTTCCCAGCGCTTCTTACCTGGAACAGGCAGCAAGAACAAGAGCAATGCAGAGAAGGTAGTAGGCCCTCCAGGCTGGCTGGCTTCCCAGCTGAGACTGGGCAGGACGGTGTGCTCGCTCACTTTATAAAGGCTCCAGGTCCGCAGCCATAGGGAGAAGCATTCAGCAGCTGCAATTCCTATAATATTACAGTGATGACAATATGATGTATTTCCTTAAGCTTCATGCCAAGGTCCCTTACAAAGCAGCCCATGCCCATTCCCCCCAGGAGTTAATTAGAAACCTCAGGGAGACTCAGAGCCTGATGTGAGCATAGGCCTGTTCTGATGCCTCTGAGTTCTGGCTCATGGCTCGCTGTCTGAGACGGGAAAGACCTGCCCACTCCTGGATGCAGTTCTGGTGCATGTAGCTGGGAGCTCACCTGTGCCCACTGTGGTCTTCTAAGCTTTTGCCTTCTTCCTAAAGTCCTGGGAGAGCCTGAGCCCCATCAGTCCAGTCCACGACTGGTGTGTTCAGAATCAGGTGTAAAGTGGGGCTGGGCCACGCCCTGAGCCTGCAGGGATACGCCCGAAATGGAATCAGCTTTTAAGAAGTGTGGGAAGGGAAGGAAAGTGGGCTGCATTCCAGAGACTCTCTACTGTGTCCTTGGCCTGTGATGGAGTGCGGCGTTTCAGGTCAAACACAGCTTATACTTTCTGCGCTCTGAAAACCACCAAATTCGTGAGTCAGGAAGGTGTCTGACGTTTCCCTTCAGGGCTGGGGCCCTTCGTTGCCAGCACGAGAGTCCTAAGAGCGCCTTCCTCTTATACAGGGCCAGCAGCGCCCACAGTGGTGGCTGCTCTTCGGGGGTGGGGTCTGCTCAGAGCCACTGGGCCCTCATGGGTTAGCGTTATTTGAGCAATAATTAATTTTGGCTCTTTTTAGATCCTATGATCTGGAGGCTCTGTCACTGCAACACAGCCTGGAGCATACTGTCCCCTGAGGAGGGCTGCAGGGAAAATGCAGGACATCCAGTTAAGCTTGGATTTCAGGTGATCAACAAACAATCTGGTAGGATAAGTATGTCCCAAGTGATGCAGAAATCACACTCAAGCTACAGTATTTGTTGTTTACATATACACAAATATATAAATTTATATATATATAAATATATAAACAAATCTATAGATGTGTTGTTCATATAATTCAGTAAGTAAATTTGTTTTTTGGGATTCTTGAATATTTAATAAAAGCTTGGTCTTTGGAATCAAACCCACTTAGGATTGAGGTAAAATCCTCCCTATACACAACCTGCATGACTTTGAACAAATTAATTTATTTCTAAATCCCAGCAGTAAATCGGGGCTAAAAACTCCTATCCCGTAAATAGTGCTGGGAGGAATACATTTGGGATAAGACATTTAAAGTTTTGGTGTCTCAGTAAAGAGGAAGTGGTCAATATAACTTGTTATTACTATTAGTGTTACTGTTAGTCACATGAAATGATTTGGAATCTGTAAAGTCTCCTGTAAATGCTATCTATCAGCTTTACAATTTACTACCAACTAGTTAAGGGCAATCATGGGAGACTATTTTTCACTTTAAGCTTCTCTTTCCTTATTTGAAAAACGGAGCATATTGTATATGCATGCTTCTTTCAGATATATTATTCAGTTGGTATATATTTCAGCATATCACTGAATGAGCAATCAACCTGATTTTCCCTACTCCAGGCTCCAAGTTTGGAGCCAGCTTAGCCACCAGTTACCTGGTATCATCTGGATAAGACGTATGGGTAAGAAGAAGAGAAGGTACAGGAGCCTCATGATGGAAGAGGAGCTTTCTGGATTCTGGGTCGACCCGGCAGTGTCTAATGGCACACCTGAACTGGGCAGGCGATCTGGGAAAGAGTTTGACCAACAGGTAGAGAGAAAGGACTTGTATTCCAACTGGTGGTGGTACTGTGCTCAGTCTGGTTGGACTCTTTGCAACCCCGTGGAATGTAGCCCACTAGGTTCCTCTGTTTATGGAATCTTCCATGCAAGAGTACTGAAGTGGGTTGCCATTTCCTACTCCAGGGGATCTTGCTGATCCAGGGATCAGATCTGGGTCTCCTGTGTTTCGTTACCACTGTGCCACCTGGAAAGTCCCTACTGGAGATATTCAGTTATGGCCTGGGAGCAATTTGAGGGTGTCTCATCTGTGGACTCAGGGTCCCAGACCCAAGTGTCTCCCTTTTGTAAAGGAAGAGGTTTGCAGGAAGTCAGGGTTTCCACATTGGTTCTCACTTCTCCTTATGGCTCTGAGGTTTGGGTTTTTTTTTCTTTTTTTCTTTTTTTGAGAAAAATCATTAAAAATTGCATTCTGTTAACAAATTATTCATTTATTTATTCACCTTTTTTGCATATCTCTGCATCTGTCTCTTTATCCTTTCAGAATAAATACTGCCCCCCCCGCCCCCCTCCACACACCATTT